AAGTTACTTTATAAGATACCTTACAAAGTTACTCTATAAGATATCTTATACACTTTATAAGATATCTTATACACGTCATAAGATATCTAATATACTTTATAAGATATCTTAAAAAGTTTATAAGATGTCTTATAAAGTATATAAGATATCTTATAAAGTTTATAAGATATCTTATAAAGTTTATAAGATATCTTAAATATTATATAAGATATCTTATATATTATATGAGATATCTTAAAGTTAGAATAGATAGTAAAACGGCTTGAAATATTGGTGGTATAATGCATGTCACTACAGCAACCCGAATGGCCTCTATCTGAAAGGGAAACATAAACCAGGTGATGATGGCGTCAATTGGAGACTATCACTACTCACTAAATAAACAATCATGATGATTCAAAAAGCCTAGATGGACGAATATCATTGATGGATAATAAATAATGCAAACTTTCATTTTGATCTTTTCTTTTTTTACTACCACACGTATCTATAATGTAGATTGTCTCATATCTTCATTGGATTTCGGTTTTGGTTTTGGTTTTCTTGCTAAATATGTCAGTGTCATAGTCGGTACCTCATTACCAAGGTAATGATATGACCACAGATTTAATCAATATACTGACGTACTGTTAACTCAAATGACCCCATGATTAGATGGCTGGTGAATAACTCATATAATTCCACCTCCCTGTAGACTGCTAGAAGTAGCGTGAAATTGCTTTCTTATGTCGATTGTCAATTATTACAAGCACATTTAGGACGATAACATATTTAACAGTTAATCAAATGGGTAGGTACTGTCATCCATGTCCAAACTAATCAAGATGTCGATATCGACATTATCGACAATGTCGACACGATATCGAATCGATCTCGATAAACTTATACACTCATGAAATAACAAGATGTCGATTTCGTTGATGAATTAAGACAATGGCATATTATTGCTGATTAAGATTAGACCGATTATAAAGATTGATATAGGGTAAGAAAATGGCTCAAATACTATCAAATTATTGTATCCATTACTTTTATACAAGACAATCGTGGTGTAATCTATAAATACAGAGACAGTACAAACATAACTAAGTATGTGATGTGAAATGATTCATATTTTAAACTGGAAAAACATGGTTTATTTGTTCGCTGAAATTGATTTACTAGTAACTGAAATTTGATAGCTTCAAGTACTCTTTGATTAGTAATTTGGCTTTTTAACTATTTGTTGATGTGTATCGTGCCAATATGATGAGTCAACCCCTTTCCAATAAATTGTTACATTATTTTTTGTATATTTATATTCTGGAACTATACCACTGTCTCATATGTAAGGAAATGGCTTAGCGCTCAAAAACGTGTTGAACCAAGCAACATCCTCAATGTGACTGTCACTACTCTGAAGCTTTTGAAATCGGTGGTAGCCGTTGATTGCTGTCTACCATATTTGTTTTACATTTTAAAATAATCAGAATGTTTGTTTCTCCACTTGTAGACGTTGTCATGCTGGTATAAGTCTTGTTCAATGCCGAAGGCTGTACGGTCACCTAAAGTTGTTTACATAATTGCTTTTTTTGTGTCTGATGGTGAGTTGGTTCCCAATGGATGTCGTACAACATCTTCTTATTTTACCATTGCTAAATACCACAATTGGATTAAGGTTCAAAAGCTAAACTAAATGAAATGAATAGAGAAACAAATCACGAAGAAAATTTTAAATGTTGATATCGACTCGATATCATCAATATCCACAACAGATGAACCAGGAGAAACTGTGTTATCTATATTGACAACTGAAGCAAATATACATTTGGAATATACATAAGTTGTCGATATCAACTTGATATTGCTTTAGAAAGAGATAACAATGTGTTTAGTGGTTCCCTTTTTCTTAATTTTTTTTAATTGAAATAACGTTGTGTCCACTTGTGTCCACCTGTAACTCCCGTTTCTCTCATTATTATATAGAAATAACATAGTGTCAACTTGTGTCCGCTTTTATCCCCCGGTTTCTCTAATTTTATCAAGAAATAGAACTGTTTCCAGTTGTGTCCGCTTGTCTCCCCCTATTTCTTTAATTTCATACAGCATGTGTCCAATTGTGTCCGCGTGTAGCTCCTATTTCTTTAATTTCTATATAGAAATAACTTAGTGTCCACTTGTGTCCGCTTTTATCCACCGGTTTCTTTAATTTTATAAAGAAATAGAAATGTTTTTAGTTATTTATGCCTGTAGCCCCTATTCATTTAATTTTCATATAGACATATAATTCTTGTCCACTTATATCCGTCTGTATATATGCCCTGATATATTCTATACAGAAATTGTATTGTGTCTACTAGTGTTCGTCTGTATCCCCTGTTTCTTTAATTTAATATAGGAAAAGCACTGTGTCCAGTTGTATCCGCCTGTAGCCCCTATTCCATAATTTTGTGTAAAAATGGAAAATATTGTGTCCACTTATGTCCTATTTCAAATAGAAAAAGCACTGTGTCCGCATGTATTCCCCTGTTTCTTTAATTTCAAATAGAAAAAGCACTGTGTCCGCATGTATCCCCTGTTTCGTCACCAAATTCTTTTTATATAAAAATAACGGTGTTTCCACTTGTGTCCGCCTGAAGCCCCTGTTTCTTTACTTTAAAAATTGAAATAGTGCTGTGTCCTGTTGTGTTCACCCGCTGTATCCACCGGTTTCTAAAGAAATAGCATTAAACGGAACGGATTTATTTTTATATTGAAATTTCATGTGCCTTAGTCACCGGATAGTCCTTTGGTCATACATTTTGTTTCGTTGATTTTTGATTTGCCCTTTTTCGTGTCGTTAAACATGAAGTTGTCATTTACAGTATTGAAGGAGTCTTATGTTTCTTTCAATCAGAGTTCGACTTACACTCAGACAAATTTCTATACCAAAGTAAATTCACTTTGTATAATAATTATGTATAAGCGAATCACAAAATAACTAATATTTTATATCAAGAACCAAACTGAAACCAAACTAATTTAATTCTCCTCCTTTTACTCTTTGAAAGCTAATGTTCACATTTGCTTAAGACAAACCGATTTTCATCAGAAAAAAATACTTCAGTACAATTAAAATTTTGGAATGTTCAACTGCGTTGATAAACATTAAAACTTTTTACAGTATAAGAGCATAGTTCCCCATAGTATTAATGTAAAATATATAGATCTGTAAGACATCTTCTTGAGCATAACAATTATAATTTTTTTTTCAAATAAACTTTCATTGTTTTATTTTGTATTACATAAATATATACGTGAAAAAAGTATAACACAAATACTGAACTCCAAGGCAATTTCAAAAAGGGGAAGTCCATAAAAACTGACAAAATCAAACGATATAAAAATAGAGCGAATTGAAAAGTTTTTTCTCCATCAAGTCAAGAAACAAATAAGAAGTAAAAATCCAGTTTCTTTTTTTTTTTTGGCTTAACCTGTTAATACTCCATAAGATTTTATATTTACGATTTTTGTGTACATATTTTGCTCCCCAAATTTTCTCCACCAAGAGTACCCATTGAAAAAGACTTGATAGCGCTTAGTTCAAATTAAATTTGGTATTTGACTTATCTTTTAAATATTCTGATATAAGAAATTATCATATGTTAAAATAATGGTTTTGGGGGTTTTATTTTCTGCACAAAGTTGGAACTTAGTCACCCCCTCCTCTTATAGTACCGATGGGTAACGGAATGAAGAGGATAAAGTCGTATTCAAAATTAAAACCTGATAGGGTGTAAGGTCATGTACCTTTACAAATTGCAAATGTTAATTTAAGTGCATGAAGAACACAAATGTACCAATTGAAAAGAAATCCTTTATCATGGGAATTTGTTTAGTCGATTATATAAGCGCACTCTAGGAAATATCTTTGAAATAAGTTGGCCAGGAAGATTCTTATTCTTATGCAATGACCAGAGAATTCTTTTGTCTATCATTGTACAAAATTTCATTGTATTCCTTTGTAACCCATTAAACAGCTCTTCCGTATTGGCATTATTTAATGTTTACCCTTCCTGAGTACCCACTATCATCTTCAGTGTTGGATAACTTTCGTGCTGTTCAGTCTTTAGTGGTTTTTTTTAGTGTTTTGTGAATTCGTTTGTTTATCTTTTCGTCGAATTCCGTTTTTTGTCATTATTGTATTGGTCTCTTTTTGACTTGTGAGCTTTTTTTCTGTTGTATCTTTCTTCTCTTTTTTAAGTGAGACATTTTGTCAGTAAATTTCCAGGGCATAAAATTATACAATTGCTATAAAACTGCTGTGGCTTTCTCTCAGGCAAATTTGGGATAAGACAAAATGTGCAGTTAAATGCTATCAATATTGTAGACGGCTACTTTAAAACCAAAATACTTTAGTATCAATGTAAATTATGTATCTTACGTTTGAATAACGTTTGGATATTCAAATAGTTTGGCCTCAGACATCACTGAAGAAACGTTAATTGTCAAAATGTGCATCCAGTGCAGTACAATTGGTACATGTTATGCTATTTTGGATGACTTAATAAATATAAACTGTACATGACTGTATAAAATTACATGCTGAAATTTAAAAAAAGTTGACTCAATGTAAGGATCCTTTATGCGCTTTACTTCAAATTTTTGCTACGGATCATTTTTATCCATTGTTACCCTGAGCTTTGGCGCTTACCGGAGACATACTGTCATTCGCTGCCGAAAATTTAAAACGAAGCAAAAACAATGTTATCATTTCAAACTTAGATGGGTGTATTATATTCATTTCATAAATTATTTGCACTTAAAATTCATTAATATTTTTTAAAATCATCTGTCACCAGAAATCAATTTGACGATCAACTCTCTGTATATGTTTTTTTTAAGGAAACTTATCTTGCATTATTTAGCTTTATTATAAATTCACAAAACATAACATATCTATTTCGTTATTAGTCATGCAAACATAATACAACGAATATATTCAACTTGCCAAAAAATGTAACACCTTTTAAAAATCAATTTACAGTCCGTGTATATAAACGATATTTCTAAACAGGTTATCAAACTTTCGGAATACACATTTGAGACATCATTATGATTCTCTATACGACTATATTGCTGATTTTCTTTACGGGAAACACTTGTGCAGAAACAACGCCAGGAAAGGACTGCGCACCTGGTATACTATTCTTAAACTATATTACTATAGTTTTTTGATCTTTTAAATTAGTTGAAAAGAGGATATAAGACAATTACAAGATAATTTAAGCATTTTTTTACCTTTTCAAAATTATTTTCTGAGTTTCATTTCATTTGTTGTTAAAATGAAGGCGAAAAAATACGAAGGGACATTCAAATTCATAAGTCAAAAATAAACTGTCAACGCCATGGCAAAAATGAAAATGACCAAAAGACAAACAAACAACAGAATACAAAACACCACATAGAAAACTTCAGACTCGTTATCTGTGAAACAGATATCCCATAACGGTCAACCAACTCGTGATGGCGTCCGTAAAATTTTCAAAGGGATGATTTCAACTTCTTGGTTTAATAGCTTCATTGTAAGCAGCAATCCCCTATAAAAGAAATCATGATATGAAATGCAAGCCCTGTGATATCATTAATTGTATTGATGGCTAAATTAAGTAAAATGTATTTAATCATTGTTATGTGATCTGCTGAAGTTATTAGATATATATTTAGACAAAATGGGAAAAGGCAAATCCATATTTATACTAATGGGACCATATTACAATATGACAAACTATCATAATGTATAATGAATTATTTTGTGAAATCAAATTGTTTTGTAGCTGTTACTTTTTCTGGAGAAGCAGCGACTAAAGTCGTTGAGTTGCTCTCTGACAATTGTGCATGCAAAACAGCCAAAGAAGATGATGATGATGAACCCCAATCCTCATGCACAGGTATGAAAGCCATTTATATAATTCATTGCAATGTAAGTGATATAATGTGGTAGTAAACAATTATTCTCTTAAAAAAGAAAAATAGCAAGAATACCGAAATCAAAACGGAAGTTCCTTTACCAAATGGGATAATCAAAAGCTCAAACACATCAAACGAATGAGAAACAACTGTCATATTCCTGACTTGGTACAGGCATTTCCTCATGTAGAAAATGGTGGATTAAACCTGGTTTTGTAGCTAGCTAAACCTCTATCTTGTATGACAGTCGCATAGAATTCCATTTTTTGTTTTAATTTTTTAATAGGTAAAATTGTAAAAAATGGGGTACAGCAGTCAACATTGTGTTATAATCTTAATCACTATAAAATAAATAACTATTTCAACAAAAATGTTTATGTCGAATTAATACCAATATTTTAGATACATATATACATAAACATTAATACCAATTCACAAAAAAGAAAGTACATAATGTTTTACCTAAACGTTGTAATCAAAATTATTATAACTGTATTGCTCGTTTGTTTAGTGATAATGAAGTGATTTAGTTCACCACAAGTTATGCATCAAGTACTCTGTGGGCAAAAAAGTAACGTGTTTTTAAACATATATATATATATTTTTTCAGTAAAAAGACCAACTGACTGTGGTGACCTTGACAAATCAACTTGTAAAAGTGGAATTTACAAGATTTTTCCAGATGAAACTTCTGGTTTCAAAGTTTTCTGTGAAATGAAGAAACATGGCGGGGGCTGGACTGTGAGTTTGAAGGGAATACTAAACAAAAAAATCAAAAAGATGTGTTAATGAATTAACAAATTAAAAGTTTTAAAATACTAGTAACAAGGTAACCTTTAAATAATGTTTATATAGAAAAACCATTTTACTTCTATTTTTTTGTTATATTATCATTTTTATTATTATTATTATTATTATTATTATTATTATTTAATGCTTTTTTTCGACAATACACCAAACACACCACAGACTTTTTGTACTTTAGTACTTGAAAGATATTACATTTTCCACTGCGTTGCTGAATTTCAAATGCATTATACGTTTATGTGTACGTATTTGTTATTGGTTGTTATTTCCAGGTTTTTCAACGTAGAATGAACGGAAAGACACAATTCTATAGAGACTGGGACTCTTATAAGCGAGGATTTGGTAACCAGAATGAAGAATTTTGGTTGGGTAATAAATACTTTTACATATATATATAGAGTTTTATTTGTGAGTTTCAAGAGTTCATTTACTTGTACTAGCATTTTACTCATAAAGGTAACAAATATAAGAAATGACCTTTAGATTATTCTTTGTAACTTGATAGACCAATTTCTAAAGGTCTTAAATTATCATACTGTTGCTTAGTCATCGCATGTTTTATCAATCATTTTGTTATTAACACCAGAAGGCTTATTCAAACTTTGAAAAATTACTATAATGTTCTCTTTTATTAATTGCATTCCTACTCAAATTACATTCTGCATTGTGCATCACACCAAAACGATGTCTTCCTGTACTGTTTATGACTTTGCATGCAGTATGTCTATTCCGAAGCTCAGTCAAAATTGTAGAGTCAGTGTAGGTCGGCGTGATTTTATATCAATACAAAGTTGTTTTTTTCTCTCTTTACTGTTACTATGAGCATCATTTGATACATTATTGGTATAAGTTTGTTTGATATTATGCTTTTTGTGATTTATTTTGCTGGTATTAAATTGTTTACTGCTTTTCTGTACTGCTTTTATCATACATTTTTAATGTAGCTTCCTTATTCCACTGACAAAAATTATAAAAAAGTGTTAACATCACAAGTTCATGTTACCGTCTTGTGCCCGGAAACTCTTCATTGTATCTTGATGTTTAAGTCGTTAAAGGAATACGGTTTTGATGCTTTAATCAATTACAACTTGTATATGGGCAACATAACCTTCGACAACACACAGGTGTACGAACAATGCGTCAAGCTCTAAATCGTTCATAGTCTATACAAATTTTGAATAAATTTTACAGAAACAATCAAGACCTGTCATTAACACCTAATTCTCCAAATAACCAAACATTTTTAAAAGATATGTCATTAATAGTACATTTCGACTTTATTCAATTATATATTAGGTAACGACCATCTGCACCACCTTACTTCTCAAGGAAAATACAAACTGAGGATTGATATGGAAGACTTTGAAAACAACCGGAAGTATGCCCTGTATGAGAAGTTCGGTGTTGGTAACGAAAGTTCTGGTTATATTTTGGATGTTAGTGGTTATTCTGGTGATGCAGGTAAGCTTTTTGTTTGTCTGAACCTTTAGAATTAAGGATTGTAATACCAGACCATATATTTATTCATTTTTCTTCTTTGACTCTCAATTTGATGAAGGTAAAAAAATGTCTGATTATGTAATAATCTAACATATTTTTGCAGATCTCAAGTCTACTATTTTCAAAATTAAATCTACATTTTCAAAGAAAGCCATTTTACACGTTTCCAATCGTTTATATGTGCTTGACTAAAATAGATTTAACGCTCTTTGGCATACTGAAAACTTTTAATTGTTCAAATCAACCTTGTCTTACTTTTAATGTTACCTCTGATTCGGTTGCAAAGGATATCCAAAATTAAGCTATCAAAATGGAGAGAAGATATAAAGAGTTGTTTTGGTTAATGAGGAGGGTCGAGCACCCACATGTGCCTGTCCCATACCAAGACCCTGTAATCCAGTAGTTATCGTTGGTTTTATCTTCTATAATAATTGTTTTCGTGTATTGTTTTAGCTTAAATCAAACTGTTAGTGTTTTTTTTTAATTATTCCTCATTTTGTCGTCAGAGACCTTTCATAACTATAATAATTAGTATATATATAGCAGTGGGATTTACTAATTTTCTATAGCCGTATGGTTACCTGAAGTTGCTTTGGTCTATGGTGGATACTTATTTCATTTGCAAGCATCCCATATCTCCTTATTTTTATACCAAATACAGCAAAACAAAAAAATATCAAATATTCAACAAAAAACGTAAAAAAAATTATCATTTGTTGTATCAAAATATTTTTTTTACATCCGAATATATAGTGACTTAGTTAACAATGCCATTGTTGTTGTGAAATTAGATATGACTTGAGTATTTGAAATCCTACTGTAAAATACAAAGTATATCTTCAGGAGATGCCATGGAATTTCACAATGGGCAGAAATTCTCAACAAAAGATAGAGATAACGATCCTTGGGGCAAGTCATGCGCAGTGGAATACAAAGGAGGTTGGTGGTATAATGCATGTCACTACAGCAACCTGAATGGTCTCTATCTGAAAGGGAAACACAAATCATTTGCTGATGGAGTCAATTGGAGACTATGGAAGGGCGATCACTACTCACTGAAAGAAACAATCATGATGATTCGCAAAGCCTAGATGGATGCATCTCATTGATGGACAATAAATAATACAAACTTTCATTTTGATCTTTTCTTTTTAAAATACCAAACGTATCTATAATGTAGATCGTCTCATTTCATTGGATTTCGGTTTTGGTTTTCTCATGCTAAATATTGTCAGTGGCAGAGTCGGTACCTCATTGCCAAGGTAATGATATGACTGCAGATTAAATCAAAGTACTGGCGTACTGTTAACTCAGATGACCCCCCATGATCCGATGGCTGGCGAATAACTGATATAATTTTACCTCGCTGTAGAATGCTAGAAGTAACGTGCAATTGCTTTCTTATGTCGATTGTCAAATATTACAGCCATTAGGACTATAACATATTTAAAAGTTAATGGAATGGGTAGGTTCTGTCATAAATGCCCAAAAGAGGGGCGAAAGTTACCAAAGGGACATTCAAACTAATAAGTCGAAAAGAAACTAAAAACGCCATGGCTAAAATAGAAAAACAAAATCATCATTTGTTGTATCAAAATATTTTTTTTTCCGAATATATAGTGACTTAGTTAACAATGCCATTGTTGTTGTGAAATTAGATATGACTTGAGTATTTGAATTCATATTGTAAAATACAAAGTATATCTTCAGGAGATGGCATGGCAATTCAGAATGGGCAGAAATTCGACACGATATCGATAAACTTATACACTACTGACATAACAAGATGTCGATTTCGTTGACGACATCCATGACAAAACCTGATGTCGATGACATATTACGCTAATTAAGTTAAGACCGATTATGATTCATATTTCAATCTGGATAAAAATGGTTTGTTTATTTGTTGAAATTGATTTTAACTAAATTTTAATAGCTTCAAGTACTCTTTGATCTGTAATTTATTTTTGTCTATTTGTTGCTGTGTTTTGTGCCAATCTGATGAGTCAGTGGATTGTAACATAATTTTTGTATGTTTATAAAATTGAGAATGGAAATGGGGAATGTGTCAAAAAGACAACAACCCGACCATAGAGCAGACAACATATTATGTTTTGAAACTACACCACTGTCCCATATTTAAGGAAATGGCTTAGCGCTCATAAACGTGTTTAACATAGCAACATCCTCAATGTGACTGTCACAACTCTTGAGCTCTTGAAATCGGTGGTTGCCATTGATTGCTGACAACCATATTTGTTTTTCATTTTTACAATAATTAGGATGTTTGTTTTCCCATTTGAAGACAATTTGTCATGCTGGTATTAGTGGTTTTCATTATTAAAGGCTGTACGGTCACCTAAAGTTGTTTACATCATTGATTTTTTTGTGTCTGATGGTGAGTTGGGTCCAATGGAAGTCGTACAATATCACTTTCTTTTACCATAACTATATTTCACAATTCATTTAAGATTCATTATCTAAACTAAATGAAATAAATAGAGAAACAAATCAGGAAGACAATTTTAGATGTTGATATCGACTCGATTTCATCAATATCGACTCAATTTCATCAATATCGACTTCTTAAACAGATACACCAGGAGAAACTATGTTGACCATATAGACAACTGAAGCAGATAAAAATTTGGAACGTACGTAAGTTGTCGATATGAATTCGATTTCAATATAGATAGAAATAATAATGTGTCTAGTAGTGTCCACCCATAGTCCTTGTTTCTTTAGTTTTTTTTTTAGAAATAACGTTCTGTCCACTTGTGTCCGCCTGTAGATCCCGTTTCTTTAATTATTATATAGAAAAAACGTGAGTCCACTTGTGTCTGCTTTTATTCCTCGGTTTCTTTAATTTTATAAAGAAATAGAACTGTTTCCCAGTTGTGTCCGCTTGTCTTCCCCTATTTCTTTAATTTCAAACAGAAATAGTACTGTGTCCGTCTGTAGCTTCTGATTCTTTATTTGTTTGTATAAAAATTGTATTGTGTCCACTTGGTCCGTCTGTACCCCACTGCTGCTTTAATTTCAAATAGAAAAAAAAGCACTGTTGCCTCATGTAGCCACTGTTTCTTTAATTTTTATAACAAAAATAACTGTGTGTCCACTTGTGTCCCCTGTAGCCCCTGTTTCCCTACTTTAAAAATTGAAATAGTGCTGTGTCCATTCACCCGCTGTATCCCCGTTTTCTTTTATTTTATACAGAAATAGTATCAAACAGAACGGACTGATTGTTATGTTGAAAATACATATACATTTTGTTTTGTTGCGTTTCGATTTGCAATTTTTCGTTTCGTTAAACACGTTGTGGTCAATTACAGTATTGAAGGAGTCTTTTGTTTCTTTCAATCAGAGTTTACTAACAATCAAAAAGATTGCAATATCGAAATAAATTCTGTATACACTTTGTATAATTAATATGTATTAGCGAATTGCAAAATAACTAATACATTAAATCAAGAACCAAACCGAAACCAAACTATTCCTGCTTCTTTTACTCTTTGAAATAAAGCTAACGTTCAAATTTGCTTAAGCCAAACTGAATTTTGTCTCTATACTATAGTACAATAAAACTTTGGAAGTGTTTAATTGCGTTGATATATAATTGAAAATATTACAGTATAAGGACAAAGTACCACATAGTATAATGATAATATATCGATCTATAAGAGGCCTTCTTGAGCATAATTTTTTTTTCAAATAAACTTTCATTGATTCATTTTGTATTACATGAATATATATATACACGTAAAAAAGAAAAAAGTATGACAAAAATACTGAACTCCAATAGCATACAAGGCATCAAAAAGGGGAAGTCCATAAAAACTGACAAAATCATAAGATATCAAAATAGCGAATAGAATTTTTTTCTCTCCATTAAGTCAAGGGCCAAATTTGGTTCATTTTTCAGCTGTACCTGTTAACACTCAATAAGATTTTATATTTACGAAAATTATGTGCATATTTTGCTGTCCGAACTTTCTGATAATGGTTTGTAAGGTCATGTACCTTTACAAATTGCAAATTTTCATTTATTATAATTTAAGTGCACAAAAGAACACAAATGTACCAATTGAAATGAGAGCCTTTATCAATTGGAATTTCTTTAGTAGATTATATAAGCACACTCCGGGAAATATCTTTGAAATAAGTTGTTCAGGAAGATTATTATTCTGCAATTACCAGAAAATTCTGTTGCTATCATTGTACAAAATTTCATTGTATTAATTTGTAATCCATAAGACAGCAGTTCCGTATTGGCATTATTTAATGTTTACAAAATGTACCCTTCCGGAGTACCCACTATCACCTTCACTGTTGGATAGTTTTCGTGCTGTTCTGTCATTAGTGTTTTATTTAGTGTTTTGTTGATTTAATTGTTTATCTTTTCGTCCATTTTTGTTTTTGGTCATAATCGGTCTCTCTTTGACTTATGAGCTTTTTTCCTGTTGTATCTTCCTTTTTCTCTTTTTTTTTTTGTAATCGAGACATTTTGCCAGTAAACTTCCAGTTTGTAAAATTATACAATAGCTATAACACTGGTGTAGCTTTCTCTCAGGCAAATTTGGCATTAGACAAAAGATGCAGTTAAATGCTATCAATATTGTAGACATATAACTTAATTGGCTTCTTTAAAACGAAAATACTTTGGTATCAATATAAATCATGTATCTTACGTTTGTATAACGTTTGGATTTTGAAACATTTTGGCCTCAGACATCACTGAAGAAACATTAATTGTCAAAATGTGCAGTAAAATTTGTACCGTTAATGTTATTTCGGACGACTTAATAAATATATGCTCTACATCACTGTATAAAATTACATGCTGAAATTTTATGTAACGATCCTTTATGCGCTTTACTTCAAATTTTTGCTACGGATCACTTGTTATCCATTGTTAACCTGACCTTTGGCGCTTACCAGAGAAAACTGTCATTTGCTTCCGAAAATTTAAAACGAAGCAAAAACAATGGTATCATTTAAACTTAGATGGGTTTATTAATTTATTTCATAAATAATTACGCTTAAAATTCCTTAACATTTTAAAAAAAATATCTGTAACCTATAATCACTTTGACGATTAACTCTCTATATATTTATTTTAGGAAACTTAATTTGCATTATTCAGCTTTAATATAAATTTACAAAACATATCTATTTCGTTATTAGTCATGCAAACAGAATACAAAGAATATATTTAACTTGCCAAAAATGTAACACCTTGTAAAAATCAATTTACAGTCCGTGTATATAAACGATATTTCTTACAAGGTTATAAAACTTTTGGAATGCACACTTTAGACATCAATATGATTCTCTATACGGCCATATCGCTGATTTTCTTTACGGGAAACATTTTTGCAGAAAAAACACCAGGAAAGGACTGCGCATCTGGTATACTATTCTTAAATTATATTACTATATTTTTTTACTATTAAATTAGTTTAAAAGTGGTCAATAGACAATGACAAGATAGTTTAAGCGTTTTTTCTCCTTTCCAAAATTATTTTCTCAGTTTCATTTCATCAGTTGTTGTAAAATTAGGGCTAAAGATACCGTAGGGACATTCAAATTCATAAGTCTAAAATAAACTAACAACGCCATGGCAAAATATGAAAATGACCAAAAGACAAACAACAGTATACAAAACACAAGACTTAAGACTGAGCAACACGAACACCACCAAAAACCTATGGTGATCTAAGATGCTCCGGAAGGGTAAGCAGATCCTGCTCTACACATATCACACGCAGAGTTGCTCATGTAAGTACACACCCGGTGATAAGTCTAGTTCGGTAAGTCACGTTCGAGGAAAATAGGACGAGACTTTAGTTACGACAATTGGAGCATATCCGTCGTTATCTGTGAAACAGATATTCCATTACGGTCAACCAACTCGTGGTGGCGTCCGTAAAATTTTCGAAGGGATGAGTTCAACTTCTTGGTTTAATAGCTTCCTTGTCACCATCTTATGGTGTTTATATATCTCAACTTGTTCGATTCACTCGTGTATGTAACAACTATTTGATTTTAACGAAAGAAATCTCTGTATTACTGAAAAATTATTACATCAGGGTTTTCGATATCACAAACTAGCCAAAACATTTACTAAATTTTATC